ACTAGAAGAGGCCAGGAAGGAGTATAAAGAGGCCATGTGGTCGATGCCATTTTGTTCTCAGCTCAGCACTTCATCCCAGAGGCAGCATTGCAGGGATTGAAGAGCCTGGAAGACCTGTGAACCCATCCTGATCGTAGGATGTGCAATAAGAACTTTTAAACCAGCAGCTGAACCGCACTCTCAGGCTTTTCTTTCTTGTTGTAATAAACCTTTAGATTGTAGATTCTAAAGGATTGGCCCAGCGTGATTTGTGGTAAGGTCCAGAGGGTAAATTGACCAGGGATCTGTGGCTGGTTTCTTGGAACCGGACAGAACTTGTTCGGGGTAGGTGGGATTGGGTGCTAGGACCCCCCACCTGTGTATAGGCCCGGGGCCATGGGGCACGGATATTGCTGGGGTGTCGGAGGGGTTTTGCTCGGGAGGCTTCAGGCAGGCTGCTGAAGCGCTCTGTGGGACTGGTTTGTGGCCTGTGTGGAGAGGTCGCCAGTCGGGGGCTGTAAGTAGCCCCGGATTTGAGCAATTCGCCCTGAGTGGACGCCCTTAGCTGTGCCCAGACACGGCCTGGTCCGTCACACCATGTCAGCTCCACCTGCAAACAATGGGAGTGGATGGTGTTCAGCTGTCACTTAGCACCTCTCACACCCTGGTCCCTGGTTCTTCCACACATTGTGGTGTAATTTGGCTCTTAAATCAGACTGACCTGCAGTCACTTAAACACACGTTAAACCCACTGTACGCAATAAGAATTTTTGTCTCTGTGAGGTCTGCAGGTCAGATTCGGAAGCAGTAATTTAAGGCGAAACTGTCTTTCAGGGACACCTTTTAGCCCTTTTTACTCTGACAACAAACTGCTTTGAGGAGGCCAAGAACTTATATAGGGTCCCAATGGAATGGAATCGCTGGGACCCAGGGTAGTTGCCCTTTTGAATTTGTATTTTGCTAACGATCTCGGCTGGTAGTTTGAGAAGGAATGGCCGGTCTCTGTTCTGAGAATCCACTCAGAGATCTGAAAATCACAGACACCGTGTACTATAAAATTCCCTCCCCCCTCCTTCGATTTTGCAACTACAATTGCCAAAGCTTCTGGCAACCCTCCA